GGGAGGGAATCAGTTCAACATAAATTGCTGCCTTTGAGTCTAATCCTTTTCCAGAAACTGAATCTGTTCTAACAGTCCAGGAACCTACAGCATGAAGTGAGGTAAAGTAAAGTACTTAGATGGCTGCAGGTTCAATAGCTGTTCCACCATTTACAATATTCTTTCCAAAAGGGAAAATTCAAAGGACTTCTGTTAAGTCTATAATATTTCCAAATCCACATGACGAACATCAGGATTACGTTGCTGAAAGAAGAAAAAAAAAAAAAGAGAGGAACCCAGTTTATTAATCACTGCATACAAATCACCTGTACAACATGGACAGAAATGTCTAGACATGGTAGTATAGCAACAGTTTTAAAATTTTAAAAATTGCATTTAATCAATATTTTAGGCAGTTCACAATGCCAAATCATCTTTGTCCCTTAAGAAACATTTTTCAACATCCAAACAAAATTAGTTTGAATGCTTTAAAAAAGTATGAAGGGACTCTCAGTTTAAACCCAACCCCCCCCCCCAAAAAAAACCAGAAATCATAGGCAAGGAAAATTTTCAAAGAGAACTTAAATATACAAGCATCACTTTTACAAATACCAGAGGTGCCTGGTACCAACTGGTTTATATGCTACTAAAATGAATTAAAAAACTTTTAACAAGGAAATACACATCTCCAGATTTTGTGAAAATACAATAAAGGATATTATGCAGATTCCATGATCCATATATGATTTAAAGTGACTTGTTTCAAAGTCATTCTGCATATGAATTTAACTAGCTTCTTCAGTAATAAAGCAATCATTAAAATGCAAAAAACACGTGTAAAATAGAATTCATTTTTTGAAAATAATTATTCTTGAGCCTGTCGCTCAAAAGCCATGAAGAGCTGAATCTGCAGATCATACTCAAGAGTAATTTTCAACTGCACAACTTTGGGGAGAGAAAAATAAACTACTTAGAATGTTTCTCAAAAATCTTACACATGCTAGGCAAGGATATGCTCTTGAACAGTGCCCTTCTGATCAAGAGAAAAAAGCAGGCACAGAAGCACAAGTGCATGCTTGTGCTGATGGCTCAAAGATCTCTTTGGAAAAAACACTGTTGCCAGCAAAAAATATTACCCAAATGTCTTGCATCTCCAGAAAGAAGGAAATTCTTAACCATATTCTCCTTTCCTTCCTAGGTCCTATAACTTAAACGCCACTAGGGGCCAGTCATGCACTGTAGTCCAGCTCTCCGTTGTGCTGTCTTGCAATCAAGTATATAGTGCCTGGATGATTTTGCTACCATTCTGCTATGTTATCTAGCCACTTTTTGCCACCTTCTACCAAGCCAAAAACCACGGTCTTTAGCAGGCAGTCATTCTTCATCCAGCACAGACATTTAAAGCAGCTGAAACTTCCTCTGCACTGCTGCAGCAACAGCAGTCTTTCACACCAAATGTTTTTTCTGATTATTTTGTTTCAGATATGGATTCACCAGCTCACCACAAGCAGCTATCTATGTTTCAATAGGCCAGGAATCTGAGTTCATCCATTTGAAGTACCATGTCTCTACTGCATACAGCACAACTGTATATTAAGCACTGAATTTTAGGATTATGAGGAGATTCTTCTCTCTCTGTATCAGCTTCAGGTCACCTAATGCCACTTGCATCTGTCACATACTCCTCAATTCCCTTGGAGAAATCCACTTCCCATGTAAAAAGGCTCCCCAGGTAGATCGACCTGTCCATGTTGTTGTCCATCTTACTGTCACCCACTTCAGTGTATGCACTGTTCTCTCTATTCACACTGACAGGCAGCCAGAATCATTCAGCAGCCTACAAAAGACATCTATTTGGCTCTGAAAGCCTATATTCTCAGTACCCAGCAGATCAAGGTTGCCAGGAAAATTCAGGTTGTTCACCTTCTTTGCCATCACCTTTACCAGAGGGCTTTGGCTATCACAACTATCTGTCAGTATCTCAATACAGATCAGGACTTACCACGAGATATCAGGTCACCATACATGCTGCTGATTATCATCAAGTCAGTCACTTAGCTGACTTGACTAGGATCGCTAACCTCACCTGTCTAAAAGTTTTTAGAAAGGCTAGCAGCCTCTTGCCCATACTATACATCCTCAAAACATCCCATACAGTATGATGCAATACCAGGTCATGTGTCTTTTTGAAACTGACAAAACAGTTGAGGACCTTCATATCAAATTTCTGATTTCTCTAAATCAGTGGATTTCTTGCACCACCCTTCTATTTTTATAGAAACAAGCTGTTTCTCTCATGGGCAATTCTCTATCTGTATGTTCCGTTGTTCAAAGAGCACCATAAGGGGAACTCTACGCTAATGGCAAGGAGAGAAATCATCCTGAATTTCATCCCATTTTGAAGGTCACCTTTGTTGACCCTGGTTATGTTTATCTACTCTTCTTCACTTCAGAATCTTTTCCTTCGTACCCCAAAACTGTTGCATAGCACATAAAATTACTTCCTGTTACAGTCAAGTCTGCTGGTATGTCAAATTCTGATGTCTGGGCAGAATTCTTTCTTTTTTTTTTTTTTTT